TGCTCAAGACAGGATGCGAATTATTTTGCATCTTATCTCATTAATTCAATCACCACAACCTGAAATGAAAGTTATTATCCCCATTTCGAAGATAAAACTGAAGCTCAGGGACTTAAGTAGCCTGGTTAATGTCACAGAGCGGCAGAGTAGGAATTTAAGCCAAGTCTAGTGCTAAACGGGCTATCACCCTTCAAGGCCTTTGGTAGCCTCTAAGGCACACTTCCCGTGCCCTGCCCCACAAAAATATCATAAAAGGTGTAGATATACCATACTAGTTAATTTGAGGAAAAGAAGTTGCTTCCTTCCCATCTCCACCACCCTCTCCTCCTACTGTGGTCTAAGAAAGACTTTCCCTACACAGTGGAGGATCTCAGTCACTCCCATTTTTCTACTAAAATAATCACTAACTCTGATATTCTCAAAGCCTCTTTCAAATGGCATTTATTAGCTGAGCTGCTTGTATACTTCGCTGCAGCCAAACCAACCTAAAATTTCCTATAAAAGGCACGGCTGCTTCTGCTCCCCACTCCCAGTCTGTGAGACGGTCTACCCACTCTTCTCCCATCACCCTCCAGACAAGACTTAACTTTTACCGATAATTGCCAACATTTATTGAAGATCATGCGTCAGACGTTATTCTTCAAGCACTCGTTCGTTTAATCCTCACAATCTCACCTAAGTACTGTTATTATCCCCACAGTAGGAGTGAGGAAAGCCATCTTAGCGCCCACTGCTCCAGTGACACTGTTCAATTAAAAATCCCCCAGCAGTGGCCAACAATTAAATAAAAGTATTTACTACCCGGGAGATTAGAGCCGTTCTTAAAAATCACTTTCAGAAAGCAAGCATCTTGTTAGTGCCTAATATAATAACAGCAGAAATCCTGACCGCTGACTTTTCTCTTATTTTTAGAGAGTGCTCTCATAGGATAGCTGCCACATACACATGCTGGTTATCTCAGAGTAGGAGCTTTTATGCCAAAACTCTTTTTGAAGTCTTCTTTTCCAGGTCCCAACACTACCAGTACACTACGTGTTCTATTCAAATGAGTTGAGATTACTGCTCTGTCAGGTACCACGTGGCTAATTCATCTGTGCCATGAGGAAGCCACAATTTTGCAAAATTTCCTTTTTTTTTTTTTTTTTAGTATCTTGATCGATTTTTCTAAGGAAAGGACCCACGGCCACTTAATACTTTTTTGAATTCAAGTATGTTTTTTGTGAGTCCAAATAACATTAAATACTATCTACTGCACTAAATACTATCTGAAAATTTCAGTTTCTAAGCTTTATTCAAGCTATCTGCCAAGCAACTATGTTTTGAGGATGCTGAAAACACGACCTTCAGAGAACACAGCCATACCAACAATATTAACCACTAACCACTACTATGATAGCTTATGTATTTTATGTTTTTCTGCCTTTGTGCTGTTAATTGGGGGCTAAATCTCCAAATGCAGAATATCCATTTTGATGAACAGAGCGTCCTTATGCATGCAAAGATAGGAAGCTTGGCAGTCTTTCCTCTTTTCAATGAAACAGCAACAAAACTAGTATCTTTTAAAATACAGTTTTTTGTTGCTACTGTTAACAAACCACTAAGTTTGGGTCCCCACTAATAAGGGACCCATTTTTAAAACTGATTTTTTCCAGGTATGCTACATATGCAGTGTGTAACTTTATTAACACAGAACTACGTCAATCGCACAAATTTCCTAAAACACTTAATACTGTATGTTGAATTTTATGTAAGTGACTGGCAGTCCACAGCACTTGAAGAACATGAACTTCACGCACAAGTCTCCTAAAGGCAATACTTAAGCTATAATCCAATGTAACATTTACTCTAAATCACATAACAAAACTCAAGACATGTTACTTTTAAATATAAATATCTACTTAAATCTTTCATTTGTCTAAAATGAACTAATTAGCATATTCTAGTGGTAAGTTTGTGGACTGTCACCTCGACTATTTGCATCGTAACGACGGTATATGTCACCACACACTTGCTGGCACTGGTCAACCTCAAAGGCATATAATTAACATAAAATTCGTATTAAAGCACAGATTCTACTAGTTTTTTTACACAAAACTTTCAAAAAGAAGCTGTTGCATATTAGGTATCGAATACAAGTCTTGAAAGAGCCAGAAACGCTATTCCGGGCCAGTACACTTATTCTAATGGAAAAGGAAATTAACTCCACTTTATGTGCGTTTTGTATGGATCAAAGTAATAAGAAACGGAATGATTCCTGGCGGAAAGTTACACACGTGTCTGAAAGGTTACTTCCGGGGCAATGAAAGGCTGCCACACGAATTTCCCCTTGCCTTGCTCGGAGCACAGCGTCCACGTGGTTCTCCACTCAGCCCCGCGCGCCCCGGCCTAGCCCGCGGAGGCCTAAGGGAGCCCCCGGGAGGCGCGGCCCGGCCTCAGCCCGCCCTCCCAGGGGCGGGGCCGGCGCGCCAGTCACGTGGGCGGCCGCAGCCGCCATCTTGCAGGGAGGGGGAGGGGAGGTGCCCCGAGGGATGGGTCCCCAAACGGGTCCGCCTGTCCGCGGCGGCGCGTGACCCGGGGGCCCTCGGACGCGCAGCGGCGCCTCCTCGAGAGGGACGTGCCACACTCGGGCGCCTCGCTGCAGACTCCGAGGTGGGCCCTCTCCCGCCGGCCGCGCACAGCCAGCGGAAGGCCGAGGACCAGCTGGTCTGGACTGCAGCGAATGAAAATGCAAATCTACCCACCCCCATCAACTGCCTTTAGAGTGACAGCTTGGGAGCAACAAAATCCGCGGAAATGTCTTCAAGGCCAGAACAAGCCACAGATGAGGGCCACGGAGTCCACGCTAACAAGCGGAAAGTGCGGGCTCAGAACAATTTAATGAGACGTGAATGATTTGCTACGGTAACCCTGTGCTAACCGAGAAAAAAGTTCATCACGCCACCGATGTCTAAAAATAGCCTTCAGCGTCACCTGTAGTACGTGTATCCCCTATGATTTATTCACTCATTTCAACTGATGGCCCCAGCACAGGGCACTGCCTGAGAAATAATGTGCTGAAATTAATGGCAGAGTGCCCGACCTCACTTTACCCACTCCTCCCAGCACTCACTGGATGCCAGAAAAGGCCACACACTGCAGTCAAGATAAAAATCTCATTATTCTAGGTTGCACGTATCTCTCCCCTTCTCTAGTCGCCTTCAGACCCTCTCATTACAAGCAAAATTTAAAGGAAAAACAGACTCCTGGCAGTTAAAATCAGAAATCGGTTATCCTTGCGGGAATGATATGAATGGAATGATATAACTGTTCCACTGTGAGACATTTTTACTATATCTACAATCTAAGATTATCTCGGAAATATATAAGAAATTTTAAAAAATAAGACATAAGTATTGCTTCTGATTTCAGGCTTTCTTCTCCAAATTTAACAGTGACTTATACGCCTTTTTGGAATTATTTTAGTGAGTAGGCTAGGAGTGGAAAAGGACTTTTACCAACAGTATACACAGTTGCATATTACTAGTAAATACACACTACATGACCAAATTTCAAGTTCACCAAGAAAATAGAGTAGTAGCATTACTACATTGGAGTTGGATAAAATATATCCTACAATGTGAGTCACTTCATAGAAGCCTCATTTTAAAAAGGAGGGGCTCAGCCTAGATTATTGCCAAATCCCTTCTAGCTCCTGAATTCCTCGATTCGATGGGTATGGAGTCCACACAGCCCTTAGAAAAATTACAAAGTCCGGTTTTAGTTCCAGAGTACTGAAAGATACATAAGACACATAAATTGAATTAACTTTCAAGAAGGGAAAGGGAAAAATCCCCTTTTCCAGTAGATCATCCTAGAGATCACCTAAGTTGAAAAGGATGGCAACCAAACTACTACCTTTTAAATAACTGTGCGCCACGAAAATAAAGTTATTGTACATAGTTTTTACTCTATTGCACACAGTTTTTTACTCTGAAACCTACTCTCCTCCCCTCCATTAAGTTGTTAGGATCAAGGGTTTCATATTGGGCCTAGATTATTATTAGATGCTTTTACAGCTCTACATAATTTCATCTTCGTTTATGTTTGAGACAAGTGATTCGTCTGGGTTCTTGTCGACTACATTTTGGTGTTTAACAACTTTTAGAAAACAACATTTATGCCTACATTAAAGGCCCGACAAATACCCCTGCTTCAAATATGTAGGCAAGACTGAAGCCTGATAGAAAATAAATTATGCCAGAGGTAAAGGGCGTGAGCAGCCAGCTCTAAGACAGTTTTTGTTGTTGTTGTCTGTTTGTTTTTTTACCCAGACAACCTGCGCTAATACCCATCCAGTTTGAGTCGATTCGCTGCTCTCCACCTCAGGGTTTTTTCTGGGAACATCAAGTTAGAATCAGGAGCCAAAAGACCCTACGACCCCTTTAAACTCAGCAATGCCGGAGCGAAAAGAGCCCCTTTGTGCTGAAGACACGGGCAGCACGCCGGGAGCGCACCTTTAGAACACCTCTGCGAGGGGATAAGGCAGAGCTTTAAACTGTAACCAGAGCGCCAGATGGCGAGAAAGAGAAGGCGCTGCCCGGGGCCAGACTGCAGCTAATAGTCTCCTTTGCGCTTTGCCTTTCCCAGCACCTGGGGCGAGAGATGCTCCAAGTCAAAAATGTCCCGAGACCTTGCCTCGGAGAAGGGGACCGGGCTGAGAGCCCCATGTTTCCCGTGGCAACTCCGGCACGGAAGAGACTTCTAGAGCATTCTGTTATGGCGGGTGCCTGAGTGTGCATGGGGGGGTGGGGGAAGGAAGGCGGGGGAAGGGTGGGAGAGTGGAACTGAACCGCCCAGCAGAACGAAGATTAGTTAGTGTTACGGGCTGGGAGCCGTGGGGTGGGTATTCCGAGCCACCTGCGCCGGGTTGAGGCTCGGCCAAGAGGTATCCGAAAGCCAGGCCGGGGAGGCCGCCGGGGCGGTGACCGCAACGCGGGTGCCCGGAGGCTCGCGCGCCTTACCTGGGCCCGGGGGCCGGCAAAGTTGCACGGCTCCACCTCCACCTCTGCGTCCTCGGGCCCCCCGCGGAGCGCGGTGCGGAGCCTCTCCAGGTGCTCCCTCAGGGTGACCCGCTGGTGGAAGGAGAACGCCGGGTGCAGCGAAGCCATGGTGAAAAGCAGCAGCAGTTCCTCCTGGGCCCTGAAGCCCAGCCCGCCGCCGGGCCGGGGCTCGGCGCCGCTGCCTTCCGGGCCGGAACCGTCCTTCTCGGCGTCCTCCTCGCCTTCGCCGTCCTCCCCGCGCTCGCCGGGCTCGTCCTCCGCGCCGCCCCGCGAACCCTCGCCCCGAACCGCGCGCAGACTCTTGAGCACCGAGTCCACCTGGGGCAGGAGGCGGTGCAGGCGACCGGCGGCCTCACGGTTCTCCGAGCCCAGAAGCGCCAGGTAGACGATGAGGCGCGAGCGCACGGCGGGCTCTCGGAAGTCGGCCAGCGGCCCGGGGTCCGAGAGGCCGTTGGCCTTAGCCTCCGAGTCGCGCAGGTAATGGTAGTCCTTGCGCGCCAGGTCCTCCAGGCACGAGCCGAGGAAGCGCAGCTCCAGCGGGTTACACAGGTCCAGCAGCCCGCACATGAACTCCAAGCGCTGCGCCGAGCCCAGCACCAGCCCAAACCACTCGTACACCCGCTCCTGCTCGCGCAGCGCCGCCGCGGGCCCGCCGCCGCCGCCCGGCATGCCCGCCCCCGCCGCTGCTCCGCCAGCAACAGGCGGCCCG